ACTCCTGGCTCTGACCAACAAGGCTGTCTGTCATCAACATCCTCATTACAACGTGGGTTACGCCGTGTGCACATTGTCTAACACACCGTTGGGGGGAAGGATGTGGGCAGGACATGGGAGTGATGTTGGCTCACATGTCATTTTCCCCAACATGTTACTGTTTTGAAGCACAAGCCTTAGCCGTGAACGGAGGGAGCCCTGAGCTGGAAAACTTACAGGAACGTCCTTCCTCAGAGCCAAGAGTGACAGGTCTGGTGGCTTTGAGGGCCACCGCGATTTCCACTGTTAAATGACCCGCTGATGCTAGCAGTGCAGATGAAGAAAACAAGAAATCCCCCGTATTAAAGGAATGCAGTAACAAAAAAAAGCTATTAAATACCAGGGGCCCTGCAGGGGTGGGCAAAAGCAGGCTTACAGCCCGGCCAGTGTGGCTCAGGGGTTGAGCATCAACCTAGGAACCAGGAGGTCACGGTTCCATTCCCAGTCAAGGCACATGCCCGGGTGGCACTGTGGCTCCATCCCCAGTAGGGGGCGTGCAGGAGGCAGCCGATCAATGATTCTCTCCCATCACTGATGTCTCTCTCTCTCTCTCTCCCTCTCCTTTCCTCTCTGACATCAATCTGGGGTACTCACAGGCTCAATGCACCAGATCTTAAAATTCTAAAAAGAAAGTGGAGCTGAGCCCTGGCCGGTGTTGCTCAGTGGATAGAGTGCTGGCCCGAAGACTGACGGGTTCAGTCAAGGTCACGTACCTCAGTTGCAGGCTCTTCCCCAGCCTGGGCCCTCCCTGGCCAGGGTGCATGCAAGAGGCAGCCAATCAATGTGTTTCTCTCATCGATGTTTCTGTCTTCCACTCTCTTTAAAAATCAATGGAAAAGTACCCTCGGGTGAGGATTAAGATAAAATGAAGTTTGCACGTGGTCATCAGGGAGTGCCGCCCACCTGCCTGGCTGCGAGGTGCAGAGGGTCTTCCCGGGAAGGCCTCGGTAGCAGCGGCAGCGAGTGCCAACCCCTGGGGATGCGCTCACTCTCTGTACTTCGCGTTCTTAGCAACATTTCCTTTCGCCCCACAGCTCCCTGCACCGGCAGCACCTTCTTCTGCCACAGCAACATGTGCATCAACAACTCGCTGGTCTGCAACGGCGTTCAGAACTGTGCGTACCCCTGGGACGAGAATCACTGCAAAGGTGAGTCGGAGCGAGGCCCACCTTCCCGGGAGGAGTGGCCATCGCCGTCCATTAAATGGGTGTTTATTGCTTTTTGGGGAGAGGAAGGAGGGGGAGGAAGAGATTGATCCATCAGTTGCCTCCAGCTCGCCCCCCACTGGGCACATGCCTGGGTTGTGGGCTCGATCTCCAGTAGGGGGCATGCAGGAGGCAGCTGATCAATGATTCTTTCTCATCAATGTTTTTATCTCTCTCCCTTCCTCTTTCTCTAAAACCAATTTTTTTAAAAAAAAATTTTTTAAAAAGCCCTGTCTGATGTGGCTCAGTGGCTAGAGCGTCAGCCTGTGAGTTGAGGGGCCCTGGGACTGATTCCGGTCAAGGGCACATGCCCCAGTTGTGGGCTGGAGCCCCCGTAGGGAGCGTACAGGAGGCAGCCCATCAATGACTCATCACTGATGTGTCTCTCCTCTCCCTTCCTCTCTGAATTCAATAAAAATACATTTTTTAAAATTAAAAAAAAAACCCTAATTTTAAATTGTATTATCTGTGGTGTATGTATTTGACCCAAACGTCCCCTAAAAGCACTTTCCTGGTCTGTGACAAGCTCCCTTTATTTTTTTTAATACTAAGGTTTTTAAAATATTTGTATTGGTTTCATAGAGGAGGGGAGAGAGAGAGAGAGAGAAACCTCGATGATGAGAGAGAATCATGGACCCGCTGCCTCCTGCACGCCCCGCACTGGGGATGGAGCCCGCAACCCGGGCCTGTGCCCTGACCAGAATCGAACCGGGTGACTGTTCAGTTCACAAGCTGACGCTCAATCCACTGAGCCAGGCTGGCCGGACCGTGTTTCTCTTTTG